TATCAAAATAAAAATTTTATTTTGTTAACTTTTACTTCACAAATTATTCATCCTACTTATTAATGAAATGTTTTCTTTTGGAAAAATGTTGGACACAATTGGATATAAGTGGTCAAACTTTAGTTCAAACTTTTATATTTACAAAGAATAATGTTTTTGTAAAACATAACAAAGTACTTAGTTTTAGTTGTTGTTTATCCATCATTTTTTATAGTAGTTCTCTAATAAAAAAAAAAACGTAAATAATCTTTATCAACCTTAATCCCAAAACAGGTAAATTATTTTGCCCCTGAATTTTTTACACATTTATATAAAAAACTGTTGAAAATTGGGAAAAAACAATAATGTAATAGTATAATGTAAACAATAACGTATCAAAGTCAATATTATAAGAAATTTGCAAAAATAATTAAAAAAATTTAATTTATCTCTACGAAAAACAGGCTAGAATTGATGTAAAAAAATTTAACAATGGTAGATAAACCTAAAAAGACTAGATGGTCAGACAAACCGGAAGTTCTAATAACTGAGACAAGAGAAAATTTGAAAAATTAATAGTTGACAGGAAACACATGAAATCAAAAACATATGTTTTACTATAGAATCAAAATTTTAAAACGCTTCAAGAGGTTCAAGAGACCAAATGTTAGATTATTATTTATTGTTATGTACTTATTGTTACCAGTTCTTAGTCTATTTTTCACACATAATGAAAAATCTCTAATGTTTTTGAAAAAAACTTATTTAATAAACTAAAAAAAAAAGAAAAATTAGAAATTAAATTAGTCTTTGCAAGCACAAGATTGAAATCATTAGTCTCGTGAAGAAAATTATTTCGTCCTAGTTTGATAACTGTGCAGTTACTGGTATTGTAATGAGAACATATTAATTAAGAAAACAAAATACAATAATACAATGATTTATAAATACATTTTAATAAATTTATTTTGTTATTGCCGTCAAGTGCAAAAACATATTATCGTAACTGTATTATTTTTATTCATTATCACCAAGAAGTACATTCCTTAATGAAGATTCTCGAAGCAATTAAACATTATGAATGAATAGTTCATCATTCGAGATAGATTCACAAAATCTAATGATTTAAAGTATGCATTTTTTGCATAAGAAAAAACAAATAACTGATAAAAATAAGAACAATCACCTAATTAGGTGGTCACCGAAGATACTAAACAAAAATAACCCCAGACAAGATTAAGGTCAATGAGTTATCGATAGGTAATAATTTATTTTTCCCCATAAACAATGTTCAGTGACTTAAAAAACAAAACAAAATGTTCCATCAAGAGTCTTTATAAGTCGCGACCGCTCACCAACTCTTCATTCTTCCACCATGGGGCTGAAGAACTTCATGGTGTTTGTCGGTAAGTTGTCACCTCTTCAAGTGATTTTTCTAACAATACTTAGCTTTGGCGACGCTCACACACGCCTTCATCCACTTGACACCCCACGACAAAGAGGTGGTGTACACCTGGAGAGCCCTCGTCAAAGCTGGCACCGACCTACCAACCCCACACGCGTCCCAACTCCTCCTCGAGGGCAAAATCCGCCTCCAGGCCAACCCAAACTCGACCCATGTCCGAATCACAGACCTCACCTACAAGCTCTACAACGGGATTTTGGACAACGTGCGCGAGCACGAAGCCCATAGTGTGCCAGTCCAACTGCATGACCTGGAGCACGTCTTCAGAGTGGTCTACGACGGCAATGGTTTGGTCATTGGGATCGCGACCACGAGTCAGGAGAAGGAGTTTTCACGCAATATCAAGAAAGCCATTGCTACCATTTTGCAGATTGATGGGTCGGTGGTGCGGAATATGGGACGCCACCACCATCACCCCCATTCTTTTGTCATGAAAGAGCACTCGATTTATGGGCGGTTTGATGTGGATTATACCGTCAAGAGTCACGAGAATGGGGACGTGGAGGTTCACAAGTTGCATGATATGCATGATTCGAGTCATTTATACCAACATTTATTTAGTAATAATGAAGCTGGGCATTGCGATGCCCATTATGAAAACCCCATCATGCATGATAGTCGCAAAGACTACTGGATTGTTAAACAAGATGGCCGCCATATTGTCAAACACATTCACGCCATTGGTGGGTTAGTTTACTACCCATTTAAAGGCCAATCAGACCACCAGTTTATTTTGGTCAATCAAACTTTCCATCTTCATGATGTTGTCCCAATCCAGGAGCAATTTCACGTTGAAAGTGAACATTTTGAGGACCATTTGACGTATCACCCATTTGAAGAGAGACAAGATGGCCGTTTGCATGATTTGACAAATGGACGCCATATTGTCAATTATGACAAAGTTATCCCGGATGTTCAACACATGTTGGAGGACATTCACCAGTACCTCCACGAAGACCATATCCACACCCGGGAGCCGGACACCAAACGCGGCCAACTCATAAATCGAGTCCAAAGACTCCTCCAACATTTCACCACGTCCAAACTCGAAGAACTCCACAAGAAACTCACCGGTGAAGCTGTCCGAATCTTCCAACATATCCTACCCTTAGTTGGGACTCATGCGTCAGTTCTTTACATCAAACACTTGATTGTTGATAAAGTAGTCCACGAGGATGTTGCAGTTGAACTCCTGCAACACTTCCCAGAACATGTGGTGGAACCCCGACTTGAACTTTTGACCCAATTAGAGGATTTGATTCATTTAGACGAGAAAGTCCATTGGGACGTGCGAAAAGCCGGACTTTTGGGCTTCGCCCACCTCGTCCACCACTCCCATGAGTACCACAAACGAGTCCATGGACAAGACAACGAACAACCGTACGAAAAATACGTCCAGTTTTACGTCATTAAGATGAGATCACCGGAAACAGACCATCGTCACCAAATGGCGTTGGCTTTTGGGCTTTCCAACATGAAACTCCACACTACCATCAAACTTTTGCTACCACATGTCAATGGTGAGTTCCAGGACAACCACCATTTCCGCCAATGGAGTCTCTGGGCGGTGGGTTCGGCCGTGGTGCGCGCCCATGACCCCAACACCGTCATCGAAACTCTTTGGCCGATTTTCACCAATGTTGAGGAGACCACCGAGATGAGGTGTTTGGCATTCTACCACTTGATGGAAGCGAGACCTAGTGACCCCCGAATCGCCAATTTGTACTCCTACTTGCTCACGGAACCCAACGAAGAAGTCTACCGTTTTGCCTACTCGTATATGCACACTGTTAGCCACTCGCATGACCCTTGCAAGGAAGACTTTAGGGTGAGGATGGCCCATGTGGTGAACTTCCTGCCACCACCCGACCATGGCATGTCCTCAGTCCACTTCCACGGTTACAGAGACATCAATTTCGGGTTCAGTGGCGGCGTCGAGGAGTATTTTATTAACACGAATGAGTCGCAGATTTATGGGGTGGCCACCACGAGCGAACATTTCAATATTCACCATGAAGGGCACAGTTTTTATTTGAAAATCCACGGGTTGCAACACCGGGGAATCCCAATTCATCTCTTCATTGATGCGTTTAGACGCAAATCAGTGGTAAACGACGATATTCGCATCGAATTGGTGGTTTTTAGACACGGACGAGTCGTCAATACCCACTTCTTTGATGAGCATAATTTGCACGAATTGGACTCAATTTTGGACTTTTTCACCAAAGATTCGAAAGCGTTGATGAGAGATTTGCTCTATGTGAGTTATGATGAGTATCACCGAGCGGTGATTCCCACAGATTTGGGCATTCCGGCCGTTTGGGAGTATTTAATGCCCGTGGTGCACAAATACAATATAAGTGTCACTAAAGAGACAGTCAACAAGGTGATAAATGTCCATATTGATAATAGACACGTTAGTTGGATTCATTATCGTCATGGTTTGACTTTCTACAATCCCATTGTTGATGTTTGGCAAGGCATTAATAGATTTCATTCGTATGATGCCGTTTGGCCCTTGCATTTTGACATTTCCATCAATACGCAACAACAAAGTGTGCAATTGTCGTGGAAGAGGCATAATAATGCCCAATTGGACGTCGCTGGACTTCGAAGTCATGTCAAACAAATGGTTTACATCAAAGACGACCATCACCGAAATGTTTTAGGACAGTCCAGTCCCCAATGTAAGGACTTTGTCGTCGTCAGTCATGGGAAACAATTCAGACACGATGTAAGTCCAATTTATTGTTATTTGTATTACAAGGGAGGAAAATGTATCTTTTGTCCTCCAGTGTAATACATATTATTTTTCCCACGATTCAGCAAGAAAAAATTGATATTACAGTTTTGGCATTAAATCTAGAAGCATGTTTTTTGATTCTTTTACCCCCCTGAGAGGTACATACAGAGTGATTTAAAAAAAGATAAGCACTGTAGAATTTTTATTTATGGTCCTATTTCTAAATTAAAAAAAATTATTACATGGCTTTTAATATAGTATAAACTGAAAATTTTAGAACTTTTCTAAATGTCATAGTTTATTTTGGATCATATTCAAATTTCTAATTTTTTTCTTCATAATTTGGAAACTATTAGTTTTCTAATGTATGTGCAATATGACCAACATGTTTTATTTTTACGAGAAATTATAATTTAAAAAAATTATCAAAGTGAAAAAAAATTAAAATTAATAAAATCTAGTAGCGTACTGTCAAATAAGACAATACCATTATTGTAATGTCAAAAAGCAACAAATGAAAGAAAATATTGTCGTATCAACAAGAAATTACTTCCTAGGATTTTGGGATATTCGTGAATAGGTTTCCATAAATTTGGTTAGGTTGGTTTCCGGTGACAAACAAAAGATATCGTAATTAGTGTCAAAATTTAGGTTAAGTCACGTGTCAGCTTGTATGTAAAATTCAATTGAGGTAACCAACCCTAGGCATTCAAAATTACTTCTGAAAATTCTAGTTACCAACAACATAAAAAACGTAATTTTCTTAAAAGTTCAAATCCTAGGTGGTAATTTCTTGTTGACAAATCTGTATTCACAATATTTTTTTAAATTTTTAGTAAGAAATGACAATAATTACCTATAACAAATAAGAAAACATCCAATTTAGTGTTTTTAGTTTATTTTATTATTATTTATTCATTTATTTTGTTTACTTTTATTAAGATTATTGTTAATGCCATTTTTTATTAACATCATGCAACTAGACTTTTATTAATTTTTTTCAACTTTGATATTTATTTTTAAGCAAAAATTTTTAGTAAAAGTAAAACATATTGTACATGTCTATACCAAGAAAACTAATATCTTCGAAATTATGAGAAAAAAATTGGGTCCATATTTAAAATTATAAAATTGAATATGGCTCAAAAAATACTAGACATTTAGAAAAAAAATTAAATTGTTAGCTTGCTACTATTCTATCCACAAAAATTTTAAAGTTATAAGAGTTTAAATTTTGCACTTTGACTCTATTATTATTTCTGTTCTGTAAAAATAATTTCTTTTGCTACAGACTGTTAGAAGTGGAAACAAAAAAGCGGTATTTTGAATTGTAACTATGTTTAAAACATTATTTGTAGCTTTTATTGACAAAATTTTTGTACCTTTACTGAATAATTATCAAAAAACATTGTATACAAGATCATCAGTATCATTAAATAAACATAAAAAAATGTCAAATCTCAAAAAACAAATGTCAAATTTTTTTGACAGCTAGAATTAAAATTTTTTGTTTCTGGTATCTTATCTTACTTGTCATTTTCCTTTTTTTGGTCTATTTACAAAACACCCCGTACAAACATTTATTAATTTGTTTAATTTTTGAAATCGGGCAATAAATAAAAATTCTACAGCGCCTGCCATTTTTTCTAATCACGCTGCATATTTTAAATGTACACTTGAGTATAAAATAAACGCAAATTGTGAAAAACAAAATTGGCAAATTTTTCAGAGATTTACATAGTGTGAAAAAGGTTGTTGAAAACTATCAAAAGAATTGTCGTATTTGGTGGTCTTGCCAGTGCAATGTTATAGTCAGTGTTAAAAACGAAATGGAGAAACTGGAAAATGCCTGACATTATGAAATTGTCAATTGTGACAAAGATAACGTCAAAAAGCTGGCAATTTATTAACAGACCAAATTATATTATAAAAAAAAAACAATTTGCGTTTTTTTTGCACTCAAATGTATTTTGACAGATGAAGAAATAAACTTTTTACCTCCTTGGGAAGTAATTGGCCACTTTTCTTTCTGAAATTATGGTGGAAAAACTTACTCTTAGGCTCGTACTAGCTATTTGTATTACAAGAGAAGAAAGTGTAGCTTTTTTAACAAAACTAACAATTTCTCTCGATATCCATCCTAGTTCCACTGTTAAATCTAGAAGCATGGAGTAGGTAAAGTTTTACGTCCCTGAGGAGGTGAATATATACTATGTAACCAAGCGGTTTTTTTTTAAATCATTTGTTTTCAGAAAATAATAATTAATATAAATTAACGTAATTTAAAAAATGAGATCGTATTTTGAGAACGAAATTTTGTCTTGTTTTTGAGTTATGCGTTTTTTTTTAGTCAAAATTGCAATTTATGTAAAAAAATTTTTGAAAAAATTAGATATGAAGTAATCCGTAGATTATAACCTTTATGAGAAAAATAGTTTTATAGTGGGTTGCTATTTAAAAAAAATATTTTTTTTGTAGAAACCAAAAACAAACAAAAATCGAAAAATTTTATTCTGGATAAAACATCACATCTTTAAAGTACTTTATTCACCTGGTATATATGTTTAATGGAATTTTGACAGATGAGGGAGACAATTGGTCACATTCCTTTCTAAAATTAGGGTAGAAAAACTCACTTTCTGTAAACAAAAAAAAAACTGTCATGTTTTTGTCTTTTTTTTAGTACACTTTGCTCCATGACGATGACTTGAGCACCGGCCACCAATGGCATGTCGCCGTTTACGACAGTGACCGTTACGTCACTAATGGTTCCTTCCAACACCTACTCCACCTCTTCACGCAGTCACACCACCGCCACTCTGATTCTCCCCTAAGCCATATTTTGACAAGTTGGGCCAATTGGCACCAATACGTCCTGTTATTGCCCCGATCTGGCACCTATGGATTTATCGCACGAGTGGAACCAAGTCATCAACATCCAGTCACCGACATTGACTTATCTCTTCGCCTGCATTCGGAACCCTCCCATGAGGAGACTTATCATTACTCCCCGAGGGTCAAATGGAGCACTCGTATGACCTACGCGGTGAAAAACCACGATTCGAGTCTTAAAACTTGGGACATAAACGCGATTCTGGACGTGAACCATGGTCATACGGTGAATACTCTCAAAATGTATGTCACTAGGATTGTGCCAGGGCAAAATGACTACAAAATTTGTGTGGATGGGGTGAAAAAATGGACGGAGAAGGGGGTCACAGGTCACTTGAATGTAGCAATGAGTCAAACACCTGATGGTAAATGTGTGAAGGATGATACTGTGATTGATGTTACCATGACTGGGGATAAGTCACGTGAGCAGCAAGAAGGACACCACAAATATGGTACTTGTGAGTATATTAGCCCATATTCTGTCCCCCATTGGCACACTTTGGAGTGTTTGGTGGACCATACGACTGTCCGACGCTACACTTACAACATCAAAACCACGAATGTACCATCAGAGTTCAAGAAGGTTTTCGCCCATTGGTGGGACCACCTCAAAGGGTACTACATCTCGTACTACCATTTCGAAGATGAGCACAATGACAACATCGGCGACCATAACCTCCGACTCGATATTGATTACCCCATGGAAGAAGAACAAGTCAATGTGCACGTGACAACCCCACAACACGTGTATAGTCTGACTGGGGTACCCACCCATCACTGGCGATGGGTGGGTTTGAGCCCAGATTCGGTCGAGTACCCGAAAATTTTCGAACATTTGCACCAAGCCGGTTGGGTGGACCATTGCGTGGTTCATGTTGACCATCACCGACTCAACCATCACGACGTCCATGAAACGGTACCAAACGAGTGGACTTTGTTCGTGGGAAACGCTGCCCAGAACCCACAGAAAGGGGTCTATGTGAAACGCGTTGCCAACGATGAAATTGTGAGTTTTTTCTACAGATACCTAAAGACTAGGATACGACACGATTACGGAGAACTACATACTAGGAGACGAAACGAGATACAAAATTGCTTGATTTTTTGGACCCAAAAAAAGTAGTACGGCAAAGTAAAAATTAGGGCGCTTAGAGCGTTTTACCGTCTCAGTTTCAAATCGCTTTTAATTAATTTAAATTCAACCAGTTTACTAATTGCTTGGAAAAAAATGCAAAAATGTTGAGCTTTATATTCTTAATAAGCTGTAAAAAACGAACCACTAAATTTTTCACGAGGAATATGAGAAAAAAAATATTTAAAATTCAAAATCTGTGCTCCGTTTCATGTTTTTCAAAATGCTGCGAATACGGTTAAAGATACAAGAAAAATGTAAGAAAGAAAGTTGTAGAAAATAAAATTTTCTAGTAAAAAGTCCGCAACACCATACCTCCATCTTCAATGGTTTAGGCCTCAAAGACGTTCAAAGCCGCTCAAGCGACGGATTCGTTTCATTTTCACTAGTGATTCAGTGCCAGAGGAACACTTTACAGCAATTTAAACCTAAACCGTTGAAGATAGAAGTATGGTGTCGCGGACTTTTTTGTAGAAAATTTTATTCTCTACAATTTTGTTTCTTACACTTTTTTGTATCTTTAACCATATTTGCAGCGTTCTTAAAAATATTGGGCGGAACGCAAACTGATAATTGTTTATAATTTATTTTTAATACTGTTTTCGATATTTTTGAAAACGCTGCAAATACGGTTGAAGATACAAAAAAAGTGTAGGAAACAAAGTTGTAGAGAATTAAATTTCCTATAAAAAAGTCTGCGAGATCATATCTCTATCTTCAACCGTTTAGGTTTAAATTAATTTTCTGTCTCTTGACCACCGGTAAAAATGAGCCGTATTCCTCGCTTGAGCGTCTTTGAATGTCTTTAGGACCTAAACCATTAAAGATACAGATATCATCTCGCGGACTTTTTTCTTGGAAATTTCATTCTCTACAACTTTCGTTTTTATATTTTTCTTGTATCTTTAACCGTATTCGTAGCATATTCAAAAATATGAGAGGGCGCAAATTGCTAAATGTTTGAAAATTTTTTAAATATAGTTTTCAATAAATTTTTTTCATTACTTTTATCTCTTATTATTGAGAATTTATTGCTCTATCTGTCTATATTTTTTTCATTTGCGTTTTGCTCACCGTTATGTAAATACAGCCATTTTTTTATTTCATTGCTCTTAAAACTTAAACGGGAAAGGAACAACTGCGCTATCTGGNATATAAAAATATTCAAAACAAAAATTTTGTGTCAAGTTTGTCAAGTGTCAGTCTTGAAATTTAAAGTGCAGCTTACGGATACCTAAAGACTAGGACACGACACGATGTAAAATAAAACGTCTCCGTTCTCGATAGTTCCGTTAGCGAGGCCAGATAGCGCAGTTGTTCCTTTCCCGTTCAAGTTTTAATTAAAAAAATGGCTGTATTTACATAACGGTGAGCAAAACGCAAATAAAAAAAAATAAAGGCAGATAGAACATTAAATTCTCCATAATAAGAGATAAAGGTAATGCAAAAATTTGAAAACTATATTTAATTTTTTTTAAAACATTTAGCAATTTGCGCCCCGTCTCATATTTTTGAAAATGCTACGAATACGGTTACAAGAAAAATATAAAAAAGAAAGTTGTAGAGAATGAAATTTCCAAGAAAAAAGTCCGCGAGATGATATCTCTATCTTTAATGGTTTAGGTCCTAAAGACATTCAAAGACGCTCAAGCGAGGAATACGGCTCATTTTTACCGGTGGTCAAGAGACAGAAAATTAATTTAAACCTAAACGGTTGAAGATAGAGATATGATCTCGCAGACTTTTTTGTAGGATATTTAATTCTCTATAATTTTGTTTCCTACACTTTTTTTGTATCTTCAACCGTATTCGCAGCGTTTTCAAAAATATCGAAAACAGTATTAAAAATAAATTATAAACAATTATCAGTTAGCGTTACGCCCAATATTTTTAAGAACGTTGCAAATATGGTTAAAGATACAAAAAGTGTAAGAAACAAAATTGTAGAGGATAAAATTTTCTACAAAAACCATATTTCTATCTTCAACGGTTTAGGTTTAAATTGCTTTAAAGTGTCCCCCCGGCACTCAATCACCAGTAAAAATGAAACGAATCCGTCGCTTGAGCGGCTTTGAGCGTCTTTGAGGCCTAAACCATTAAAGATAGAGGTATGGTGTCGCAGACTTTGTACTAGAAAATTTTATTTTCTACAACTTTCTTTCTTACATTTTTCTTGTATCTTTAACCGTATTCGCAATATATTGAAAAACATGAAACGGAGCACAGATTTTGAATTTTAAATATTTTTTTTTCTCATATTTCTCGTGAAAAATTTAGTGGTTCGTTTTTAACAGCTTATTAAGAATATAAAGCTCAACATTTTTGCATTTTTTTCCAAGCAATTAGTAAACTGGTTGAATTTAAATTAATTAAAAACGATTTGAAACTCAGACGGTAAAACGCTCTAAGCGCCCTTAATTTTACTCCGCCGTACTACTTTTTTTGGGTCCAAAAAATAAAGCAATTTTGTATCTCGTTTCGTCTCCTAGTATGTAGTTCTCCGTAGTTTTTTCCATGAGTGAGTTTGGGTTCATTTTGGGTTTTCAGGCGGTTCGAGTTGTCGACCATGGGCATACACTGGAGATTGCACCACATGGGATAACCCATCAGATTAGTGTAGATGGACGCGTAGTACCGGTTCAGGAGTACCACCATGAGGATTGGGTTTATTGGCACGTGTTTCAGCAAGATTATCATCATCCTGTCGCTGTTTTGTTGCACCACAGTGGACTTCACTTGGAGTACCACCACCATGAAGTGGTTGTGGTGGTACCAAAAGTTGACCAACAGTTGCATGGACATTGCTACAGCCATCACTAAGTTGGCTTTTTACGAGATTTTGGCTTGTATTATGGTATTGTAGACTAATAAAGCAAAGTTTTTAAAACTTGTTTTTCATTAAAAATTATGAAAAAACAAATTAAAAAACAGTCAAATTACCAGTGTAAACATGAAAAATTATAGCTCGGTCGCTCATTATTAAATTAATTATTAATTAATTATTTATATTCACTACCAAATTCATAAAGATTTGTCAACAAGAAATTACCATCTAGGATTTAAACTTTTAGGAAAATTACGTTTTTCATGTTGTTTGTAACTAGAATTTTCAGAAGTAATTTTGAATGGTTAGGGTTGGTTACCCCTTGTAGTTGGCGGTTACGATATCACTGATATTTTGTTTGTTACCAAAAACCCATGGTTCTTTATTAACCATGCCAAAAACCAACCTAATCAAATTTATGGCAACCTATTCACGAATATCCCTAAATCCTAGGGAGTAATTCAAGAAAAACTAACAAAAGCTAAGCAAAAATTTTCATTTCAAGACATATGAACTTTCTCAATCTAATGAACAATAATTTTTAGTTCAACCACTGATTTCAACCTTCAATTTAAATTTTATTTATCTATCAAAAGTGAATTCTCGTAATCGTATATTCTCGTAGATGTGTATTCCCGCCCGCATGCGCAATAATTTTGACGTTTCTATTATCCGTCAAATGTCACGATGACGTTTCAATATTTACATCAGGTTCAAGTTCCAATTAAATAAAATAATAATGTACTTATTACGAAACATATCAAAACTAAATTATTATCCGCCTCAAAACTTGTGGTTATTAAGTAGTAAAGCTGTCAAGTTGAAAAACACACCATCATGTATTCCAGTCCTGCCATCGCGTCTGAAAAACACCCAACCTGAAAACCCAGCCCCCACAAGTGTGAGACAAAAGCTGCAAAAAGCAGTGGCTGAGTACGGCTCAACAGTGATCGTTTTCCATGTAGGCATTTCATTAGTTTCCTTAGGCGTTTGCTATGTTTTAGTTTCAAGGTTTCTCAAATAATTTGAGGTAGTTTTTGAAATGAAATTGTGTTTTTAGTGGCTTGGATGCACCGAAATTGATCCAGTCGGTGGGCATCAGTGGCGAGACTGCGACCAAAGTGGCCACAAACGCTGGAACCTTTGCTGTGGCTTACACAGTCCATAAGGTCTTCGCCCCTGTGAGAATGGGGATCACGTTGACGGCGACACCCTTCATCGTGCGCTATCTGAGGCAAATCGGCCTCCTCAAGCCCCCAAAGTAACAATTAAGCACAAATATCGTCTGCGCATTCGTTGGAAAGAAGAATTTATTATTGTTACATAAGTGACATATTTTTATAAAAGTTTAGTATTAGATGCTATAAACTATAAATTATAATTAACAATTAAAATATCGAAACTTGAACAGACAGTTTTATGTACACACAGTGAAACGACCATAGAGATTTCTAACAATTGTAGGCCAATAAGTAAAGAACGGCGCTTTTCATTTAGTACACTGGAATGTTAATGACTATTTACAAAGCTGCCCGAAGAAAAAGAAAACGAATAATACTGAAAAACACCAATTGAGACATTTCCAAGTGCACAAACTGTGGCTTCAAGTCACAGGCACTCAACAATGAAAGAATAAAAATTAACATTATTTCATTCAATAACACCGGGTGACTGTAAATGATTGTACCTCAGTTGGTGTCAAATTTAAAATTTTGTTTGGCAACCTCAACAAACATTAATAGTCACCCGGTATACAGGGTGATTCTTAAATAGACCAACAAAATTTTATCACAGCTTCTCAAGAATAAATGAAGACAAACTGTACCCTTTTTACGTTTATATCTTTTAGGGGCAAAACCCCCTTGATCCGTGCCACTTACGACGTTTTTGAATTGTTCTATTCATCAAGTACATTTTCACCATGTTTCCACTAGCCATTTACGAACACATCAGTGGCGTACGCTTTCCCTCTCTCATTTGAAACTACCAAGAATAAAATTGTGTCGGTCTATTTAAGAATCACCCTGTATAGGGCATAACAAATGAGTGATATGATGGTTCTCGTTATGATTCTGAAATACACGACTACGTTTTATCTACGGTTAAGTTATAACTGATTAAAGAGACTTTCATCTTTGATTGGCTCTCAAACGGTCCAATTAGGCCCTTGTTTTCCTCAAAAATAACTGAAGCGTCCAAGTGAGATCTATTCTAAAACTTGCATAATTTCAACAATACTCGAAGCTATCAATTATAAATAAAAAATAAATATTCTAGTGTATCATCCACTAAATCTATTGTACATAAAGTAATCCAAAAAAATGAAATGAGTCTTCCCGTATCAAAATACATCTAATAATACCCTCTTCCAAAAAATTTCAAGAGATGTTCCATTTAATAGATAAAAATCACAGATTTGTAAAGTTAATTAAAAAAATAAACTGTTTGGGAAAGACGCACTAAAACCCTGCCTTCCGACCTACGGATCCGTTGTTCCCTCCAACATCTCCATTAGGAAAGTATCTATTGGAACATCACCGATCAATTTGAAAAAGAAGAGATGTTCGAGACATTTCAACCCGATGGACCTCAAAGCCGGCAAACGAAGCAACAATTTAGCGAACCTCCCGGGCTCGTTGGGGTGAGTTGTCCTCGTGTACTCCTCAAGAACACCATAGATTTTCTCACGCAACATTTCAACTTCTTGCACTGATTTTATCCCCCGGACATCTGCAATTACAACATTCATGAAAAATTTTTCAAGCATTGCGCCGGTTGTACCAGGATTGTAGAGAATAATCGCCCGCAAACACCCCAACTCTGTCTTATCCATTTTCATCTCCTTCATCTTGTTCACCAGCTCGGAGAGAACCCTGTCGTAGATGTTACCGACGCCGACGGCGTGTGCTGTAGATCTGAATTGAAATAAAAACGCAATTCGTATAAAACTCTCTATTAACATACAAAATATTCGTTATTACGACTTATAAACTCTAACAATACTGCCTATCCTTTTCCTACAAATAGGACACAAATTATCGCTATCTTGCACCATGAGTCCGCACCGAAAACAAGTGCACATATGTCCACATGGTACAAAAACCGAATCTCGCCCACTTCCACAACAAATAATACACAATCGGTAATCCTCCCTCTCAGAATCGGTATCAACCCCAACTTCCTTCATTATTTTTTTTCCACCAACTTCTACACATCTTTTCTCCTCATTTCTCCCCGAAAATTTCACCAATCTCGCCTCTCTCTGACTCAATAATCTCACAGTCGTCGGCTCATTCCAAATGTAGATAACGGCCCAAATCGACCGACTCGTCTCAACTTTCTTACTTAAAATTTTCCTCTCGCTTCCATCCAATTTTCCGAAATGAATCGCTCCTGAATTACTGACGTAGAAATAAAACACTGCTCCTTCAGTACAGAAATATTTCGAAAGTGAACCGGTCCAGGAATTCCCCTCATCAGCCGTTCCTGTGGGATCCTGCGACGTGAACCCAAAACTGAGGACGTCGTGTGACGCCCCCGAAACGACTATCAATTCAACGTAAACTTTCTGATTGGTTTTGACAGGTTGCGCACTAAAGACTAATCCTTTAGACCAGGATTTAGTCGAGTTTTCCACACGAACCGCTACCGAATTTTCCTCACACAATTCGGTGTCTTCTCCGTGGTTGAGATGAAAAACTGGCTTTGTTGACGACTAAATAAACAATAAAAATCCACTCGTTTTTTTTTAATGCGAATTTGCTTACTTGTCCTTGCCCCATTGTTGCAGCTCTGATGCACTGTTTATCTCAATTTCATGTTTTGTATTTGTTTTTAGAGAGCTTATCGTCGACTGCAGCGCACTAACTCGATAACGAAATTAGTTTACGTTCAAAATAGATTGGGAGAAATTTTGGCGCGGTTTCCTGATTTATTTTTAAGCAAACTATTGCGACACAAAAACCCCATAATTTCAATAACAAAAAAATTACTAAATTGAAATCAAATGTGTTATCTTATCATTATCACAATCCAAACCGATAACTTAATCATCTGCAAACATGTCTAGAGTAAGTCCCTCTTTCCCAGTTGCCACTTTTCACTTTCTTTTTCAGAATTTAAAATTCCACGAAATCCACGGTAAAGACATCATGCTTTATCACAATATGACAACAGCGCGTCGTCTTCAAACAAACGACAGTGGTCTAACTTTCACCTCTCAATGTGTAAAGCCAACCCAAAAAGTCCACTTCAAACTCGTCGACGTTTCGAACGAACGTGTCGGCATCATCAGTATCGGTTTCACGTCGTATGACCCCACTAATCTCCAATACGATTTACCAAAGTGCCTCAAACACAAACCTGGATTCTGGATTTGTTCTCTCTCCAAACAAACTTGTACCAAAGGAAAAACTATATTTTTCTACGTCTCTCCTTCGGGTGGAATCCACTATGGAGTTGATGGTGAGGAAAAGGGACATTTTGACAAAAAAATCGACACTGGTCGCCCTCTATGGGGTGTGATTGACATTTGGAGTAAATCCACAACGATTCACTTAACTAAAGAAAAAAGAAATGATTACAAATTCACTCCTAAACCCCTCCAAATCAACGAACGAGTCAATATTAAACTCCTTTCAAGTGGTAGAATTGCTTTAGGTGTGACCTCATTTAATCCCAGCTTTGATACTACGATTCTACCCCAAGACCCCGATTTATTACTAGACAGACCTGAATATTGGGTTCTTGTAGACGACCCAACTTGGAATTTTGCACGTGATGATGAAATCAGTTTCACAATAGGTGAAAAAGGCGAAATGAAAATTTGGAAAAACGACGTTTTGTTACTCAAAGTAGTCCATGTCGATCATACTTTACACCTTTGGGGGTTCGTTAAATTGGATACCGTAGAAAAAATCGAAATGACCACTAGTTTGGTACAAACGATGGTACCACCGGTACCAAATCAGGAACCCAGTAACTGTCTTATTTGTTGCGAAAAAGGGACAGAAGCGGCGCTATATCCGTGCGGACACACGTGTATGTGTTACGAATGTGCGACACAGTGGCGGGGAAATAGGGAGAGAAGCTGTCTTATTTGTAGAGCCCCGGTTAAGGACGTCATAAAAATTTATAAGTAAAACAATAAAAAATTGCACGCCAAATTATAGTTTATCTATGATGACTTATCGATGTATTGGTCTTATCAACTTCATAGTGTAATAAACCATCATCAAATCTACGCATTATTTTCCATTAAAGAAATAAACTTTCCGTTTGAAATGTCCACGGTAAGGTAACAGTTTCATTTCACGAAATATTTTACTCAAATTTATTCTAGTCTTGTAATTTACGATTTCACAACATCCACGCTAGGGGAATCACACTATCGCAAGATAACAGTATAGCTAGACGTGTCGCAAATCCCGGTTTCGTCTTCTCGTCACGTCCCATAGAAATCGATGAAAAAATCACGATAAAATTAATGGAACTCTCAACTTATAATTCAATAGCTTCAGCGTTTTGCTTCGGAATTACACATAAAAATCCACAGGATGAAATTTTTGAAGAAATCCGAGAGTACACATACCTCGACCTTATCAAAAAACTCCATTACACAGCTTTACCAATCGATAAAAAACTCGTAACTAGAAACATGATTTTAACATTTAAAGTAACACAAAATGAAATAATTTACGAAACTAACACTGGAGAAAAAGGCAAACTAGTCCTTGATAAGAAAACTCAAACGAAAGGACCGATGTGGGCCTTGATTTATTTTTTCGAAAATCCAGTTTCAATCAAACTCATCAGAAATGCACCTGAAACCAAACCAACAGCACCACCATTGGAAATTCTTGATGTAACACCATCAACCCCTCCTTCTGATGAAAACGAATGTGTGATTTGTTATGAAAGAAAAGCCGATGCGGTGATTTATCGATGTGCACATATGTGTTTGTGTTATAAGTGTGCCATGGAACTGTGGAAAGGGCAAGGCGACGGACTGTGCCCTTTATGTAGGGCCGTGATTGAAGATGTTATAAAACCATATAAATAACTGTTTTTGTTGTTTTTTTATAGTATAAAAATAAAAATTAAAACTTGAGCCGGACCGCAGACTAAGCTTACTTATTGACTGTCAATTCCGTCGCCAGTACTACAGTGCGATCAAAAAGTCTGTCTATCAAGCAAGCGTAGAAATTTAAAACGTATGTCTGTGGAAGATAAAATGTCACAATGACAAATGAGAAATGTCAAAATAATTTTTATGTAAATTATGACAGGAAACCGTAGTGAACGATTTTTATGAATAAACACCAACAAAATCTTATTTTAGTTTGTTTTGAGACGTTTCATAGAATAATTCAATTTAATTAGATCAATGTTTTAATTTTAATAAAATAATTTTTCTACATCTAGATAACATACAAACTGCCATGCAACATACGTCCTCAACTAGGACGCCCACTTGATAGAAAGACTTTTTGATCGCAGTGTATAAACGTTATAAAACCATATGAATAAAAGTTTGTTTTGTTAAATAGCACAAATGAAAATTTTGAGCCGGACCGCAGACTAAACTTACGTACTGACTGTCAATTCCGTCGCCAGTACTATAAACGTTATAAAACCGTATGAATAAATGTTTGTTTTGTTAAATAGCACAAATGAAAATTTTGAGCCGGACCGCAGACTAAACTTACTTATTGACTGTCAATCCCGTCGCCAGTACTATAGCATCCTGCGCTTGCATCGACCGATGCGAGAATGCAGCTATGAGCAATTCATTCCATCCTGCTCTCAATAATAGCACCTGATCCGACAATGGTAATGATGTAAAATGAGGTATAAGTTTCGCCCATTGGACCAACTGAAACAGTTGCTTGTTTGTGGCTTGACAGATATTGTTTACGGTGGTATTATTCTACAAGATTCAAGATAAGTAAACTAAAATTTGTATAGATGGCGGACGCCTCACCTCGTTTACCACTAATGCCACCAAAGGATCGTTGCATTCAACTCGTTTCTCTGCTTCGATTATCCTTTCGAGGGGCATGTCAGCTTGAAGATTCGATGTCGATTCCACTTCGGACGTGTCTCTGTCTTTCGTTCTTTGTCGCTCTTCTTGAACGGCTTCCCGTTTCATTCCCATATTGAGGCATTTTTGATATCTACAATACTGACACCTGCCAAACAATAAAACAACAATCACATTTTTGGATACATTTTTTTGCATTTTTATAACCTGTTCCTTTGTCTCTTATCGATAATGCAGTTCTTCTCCTCTCGACAGGCGTAGGAAAGGTCCTTCCTAACCGTTCTCTTGAAAAATCCTTTGCAACCTTCGCAACTGCAAACAATCAATCATTATTACATAATTTTCAACTTAATTTATTTAAAAGGAGATTGAATTTATGTAATTGTGCGGAATCGTGAGCATCCTTGAATCTTAATTATCATATATTGATTAGTCATTAATATCCTGGATAATATTAAAAAGTCGCTTACTGGAATTATTATTAATAAATTCCTTTGCACAATTATAATTTTCTTAATTTAATCCCATCGACCTGTTAGAATTGTTAATATCAAAAAAACTCAATAAAGCAAGCACGTCAAGGTCTTTCATTTTCCCAAACTTGTCAAAATCCAATTCTTTCGATTGGTCTAATTTTTTGTGTTGAAGGTCAAATACCCAAGCCCCAAGTTTTTTAAATATTTGCATTTGTTGTGCATTTTGCCCGTGACTCACACGAGATGATGTTGCGTGCGTGTGTGAATAAATTATTATTATTAATTCAACGTTTACTTAAAAACACGTGATTGACGACAATTGAGCTACTTATTAATTTATTTTCTTATTTTTTTCTCGTTTTTAAATAATAATAAAAGTCAGTTTAAAGAGCGCTCGTTACCAAAAATACAATATGAGGTCAACTTATATGTTTGTCGACATGTTTTATGATATTTTTGACATTTGCTATAGATTTCTAGATTAAAATTTATTGATCATAAATAACTTGGTTTCACTAGCGCAACAATACCCACACAACAATTCCATATGAATGTATCTCAATGTAAATAGTAATTAGAAACAAAGTTAATTATAAACAATTAAGTAAAAAAAAATCTTGGTCTAGTAGAACTGATTTCCGTTTCACGCTGTATATCGTATTGTTTACTACTCAACTGATAACTGATAGTGAAAATTATCACTTTTAATCCAAAATCCCTCTGGAATTTATTGTGGCCGTAACCTTTGGCACCATCTAAGCAACACCAAGGAAAGCGAAACAAAACAATTTCATTTTCCATACAATTATTTATAGACGTAATAAAATTCAGATTTTTCAAGGATTGTTAGAGCAAAACAGGTGTTTTATTGTAGATAAATGTAATTTATAATCCATTTTTTAAACATATTAAAAAGTTTTAACAGCCACTGTGTGGTAAAAATTTTAAGAATTGACTTTTTCCATTCGTCAACTTGAAGATTCTCGCCTAAACATTGTAAAAAAATAGATGAGGACAAAACTGGTAGTCAAAAACAATAAAATTTTGCTACAATGAATCATTTTATAAAAATAACTACACATAATAGACGTCATTTTCGAAAAAAAATCGCTAATTGTGATAATTGTGTAATTTATTGAAACCCACAAATGGCAAAAATTGGAGGCACTCGCAGGATTCACGGCTCGTGGGCAGAACAATCATCAACGACTAGTTTATTGCTACCACAAGGTCACTATGATGCAACATTAATGGTCTATGTGCGAGAGGCCATGGTCATGGTGCACTTGTCACTGCCATGACGATGTCGTCCTGAAAGACCGGAAATTTTCAGCCGAAAATTAGATTTCCATGTATTTCGGACGAAACACTTTGGGGATCAGCAATTTTTTTCTGATCATGTGGTCAAAAAGTGTCATTTTATCAGTTATTAAATTGGATGTTTTATCTACCACTAGAATTAATAAAAATATCAATAAAGTTGCTTCCATATTTTATCAAAGGTGAACAAACTAAAAAAACTGGTTTTAGTTAAAAAATTGTAGTAAATTTAGATCAGAAAGAAGTACTTTAATCGATAATGTCAATTAATAGGTAATTACATTATTAATAAACAATTAATTTTTCACAATAAACTCATTTTCTCACTTTGTGGGCGTCTTTTTGTGATGTATTTTTGGTTTAACCTTCAAGGGGCTAAATCGATGGCAATAAACTTCAAGTGAATGTTTATATTTATAACACAAATTATTTTCCTGATACCACCTTGTTGTATACAGGGTGCGCCAGAACTTGCGTCCCAGAGAAAAAAGTATAAGGTAAGATACCAGGAACATGGAAAAAATGTAAAAAAATTCTATCTATAAAAATTTCGGAGTTATGAGAGTATAAATCTTGCACTTTGACTCTATTTATTTCTGTTGGAAAAATAATTCTCCAAGTTTTTTTTGCTACAGACTATTAGAAGAGGAAACAAGAAAGCTGTATCCTAAATTGTAACTCTGTTCTATGTTATTTGTGACTTTTATTGGCAAAATTTGTGTACCTTTACTAAATAATTGTAAAAAAACATATACAAAATCATTAGTATCATTAAATAAACAAAAAAATGTCAAATGTCAAAATTTTTTGACAGATAGAATTTTTTAAACATTTTTTTCATGTTCCTGGTACAGTTGGAGACAAAATACTTTGGTCGTCAATGTCACTTGAGTGACATTAAATTGTAAGGTATGCTTTAGGACTGTTAACCTTATTTTTAGCTACTGTCAATCATAGTTGACAAGTTGTATGTACATATTTTTGATAGAAAAATATAATAGCTGTCATTAACTTGAAATTGTCATTCATTTTAACGTTAAAGCTTGAATTACATTGAAGTGTCAGAAAAGTGACGACCAAAATATTTTGTCACCAACTGTATCTTATCTCACTTGAAATTTTTCTATGGGGCGCGAGTTCTGGCGCACCCTGTATTGTTAAACAACAAATTTATGGAAATTTACCCCCAACTAAAAACTTTCTACATTTTTACATATTTTGCTTCACTATATTTTTTACCAACAAGTGAAGTTATTTATGTAGCTATAATAAATTTCATAATTTTTGTGACAAAAAACTTATACAGGGTGTCAATTTTAAAACTTGCAATCGCCAATATCTCTAGAACTAAAAAAGTTATTAAGAATCACTCAAAACCGTTTCGGTAGTTTTTAGGGGGAATCAAAATGGCATGGTAAGTGAAAATTTTAAATGGCACGACCCTATTTGCGATACATCGTTGGAAAGCCCATAACAAGCGCTTTTCAAAAATGTCATACAACAGCCTATTTGGTAAAGTTATTTTTCCAATTATTCAAAAACGAAGACGTTAAATTTTCATTTTTTTTACTATATTCAAGGGTGGGTGGAGGTGTGTCACTTATCATGTCATTTTAATTCCCCCTAGGAACCACCAAAACGGTTTTGAGTGA